ATATATAGATATATAGATATAGATATATATGACATATATATGTCATATATAGAGACAACAACACTATGTCCAGCTGTAGCATGCTAGTCTGAGGCTAGTCTGAGGCTCTGCTGAGATTTCTCTTTCCAAATTTTTGTCACATTTATCTTATAATATGTGATATTTCCTCTTCTTTCTCTGTTACACTTTCACATCACAGCTTGTGAGAAAGAGGAAGATGTCTGGATGAAAACCTGCCAGCTTTTGTTATTTCAATCAGTCTTTGAAAAAAAACTCTTCTTCAGTACAGTGCCAGGACTTGCATACATGCATCTGTGACTGACGGTTGTGGGCTACATCTTCACAGGCTGACCTCACTACAGAGGGGAAAAACCTTGACTTCCTACTCAGTCCTCTGTTGAGCTGGGTAGTGTTACAGATTAGACGAGTTGATGATGGCATTAAATTGCTGAGAACTCTCCAGAGTCCAGATAATAAGAACCAGAAGCTTAAGAAGTCTACAAACACCACAGAGAGAGCAATTAGAAAATCCTTCAGACAGGAAAGAGGCATTTTGGGTAGTAAGTAGGAAACACTGTCTGTTAGACTCACTGAGGTCAGCTTTGTTCTTCTTAAACATATTTTGCCTTTGAATAATCACAGCATGGACAATGAGCAACTGAGGAAGTGTTACAGAGCAAAGTTTGCATGAATCTTATGTCACAAAATTGACAAGAGATGCTTTCGGCCTCGAGTTTGAAGGGCAGATTAATTCCTTGGGCTCTTTATTGTATTCTTGAGCAGTCTTTGTGGCCTTGCTCCTGCTGTGGGAGGGTGCTGCTGATGGAGAGTGTTGTTGCCATCATTAGGTGTGCTTGATCGGCTGCAGCTTTTAAGTGGGAGGTACATGTTAAAGCAAGATCCACATGAATGCTAGGACTGAGGCTTGACAGCTTCATGTTTGAATTCGGGAGACAGACGGTTACGTTTTTACAGATTTGGATTAGAACTTTGTTTCTTTTGATAAAGCATATAGTTAGGGCTGGATCAGGTGACCCTGAATCCTCCCTTGGTTGTGCCGAGGCTGGTGAGGGCATCCCATGAGGCACTGTCTTTTTTTTCTCTTCACTTACCTTTTTTCACCCACTGTGTGTTTATACACCACCCTGCGTTTCATCATTAGTTATCATTCATCTTGTCGTGAAATCGATCAATGTAGAGCAGTGTCGCAAACCACGGAGGCCCCAGAAAAGTGCAATCAAACGTTGAGTTTATTAACATCAACTCAAAATAAGCACAGATATGCAGTATGTATAAAATACTTCTAACTGTACCTGTAATAAAAGTTAACATAATGGAAGGGTTCTCAAATGCAATATCAATACTGTAAGAAATATTATTAAATGAAATAATGCTGTAAAGAATGTTATTAATGCAATTATAATGATGCAGATTATATGGCAGCAATAAAAGAATTTCTGTATTTCCACAATCTCTACTCTTCTCCCCTTATCCCAAGCGGATGGTCACCCTTACCTGAGCCTGGTTCTGTCAGGTTTCTTCCTGCTAAAAGGGAGGTTTTCTTTCCCACCGTCACCAGTCTTTACCTTCCATTAAGTGCCTCAAGGCAACTGTTGTTCTCTTCAGTTCAATGTATTTATATAGCACTCTTCACAGGATAAAAACCACAAAGTGCTTCACAGTAATATAAAACAGATATACATTTAAAAAACAGCACAATCAAACTTACAGCAGAAATCTAATTAAAAGCTAGTCTAAATAAATGAGTCTTAAGCTGCTTTTTAAAAGAATAAATACAATTAAAGCAACGCAATGATGGAGTTAGAGCATTCCTCAACCTGGGGCCACCGCTCTAAAAGATCTATCAACTCTGGTCTTAAAACGAGTTCGTGGGACTACCAACAGCCTTTGATTAGATGATCTCAGGCTGCGAGAGGGAGTGTGGGGTTGATGATGAGAAATGTAGGCAGGGGCATCACAATTCAAAGCTTTAAAAATCAGTACCAAGATTTTAAAATGAATTCTGAAATGTACTGGAATCCAGTGTAATGAGCGTAACACTGGTGTAATGTGCTCCGTTTTTCGTGTCTTAGTTAAAAGCCTTGCAGCAGCATTCTGGACTAACTGGAGACGGTCAAGATTCCTTTTGCTCAAACAAAGA